TCTTTAAGTATTACTCACATAATAACTTTAAAAGTATAAAACATAATATAATTTATTTCAAAATGACTGGTATATAATGTTATATATTAGTATTTTAAAAATATCAGAATTTTTATACTATGGCCGAAAGAATAGGGTGGTTCATAATTTCCTAGTAATAAAAAAAAATTAATTCCCACTACACCTTCAGTCTTTATATTAAATAGTTATTTATATTTATATTTCCATTTAAAAAACTAATTTTGAAGAAATTTTATAGAGAAAAGAGGAGGAATAAAAATAATATATATTTAACTAGCTTAAAAGTAAGACAATAATGAAATGACCGGTCGTTAACAACTTTTGCTTCAATATTTTGGTATTAAATAAAAAATATGATGATTAATCATAAAATAACACAATAATAAGTAAATGAATGACTATTGAATATTAGACTAATGTTAAATAAATAAATAAATAGATAAAATTTATTATAGGATGAATGTATTAATAAAAAAATGCATAAATTAAACTAAATATTAAAACTTAGTATAATACTGAAAATTTTGTATAACTATACAAAACAATAACATAAAATTTATAATTATAGTATAGACAAATCTAAATGCGCAAAAGGTATGAATGGATTATGTTTAAACCCAACTAAAAACAGAGAGGAGACACAGGTAAAATATATGATGGCAAGTTAATCCAAAAAAGCTAAAAAAATGTATGTAATCTGCATTGGTTTACCAGGATTAATCAACAAAACTTAATATTTGTTAACAAATATTTTTTGTTTTGTAACAATAGTAGTAAACATTTTACTAGTGCTGTAAATTGATACGACAAAAATAATAAATATTTAACTGTCCTAAATTTAACCATCGCCTCAAATTTGAAAGTATTTAAAAAAATATTTGAATAATCGATTAATTATTAACTTATTACTTTAAAAATAAACTAAGGTCTACGATAAGAAATTTTTATTTACTGCCTTTAGAATAAATTAACTTGAAGATTGAAAAAACAGTTCAAATCTCATTTTCAATTGTTTAATTGTATTTTTTTTATGGAAGAAACCAAGTCTCGAACGTATAATTTGCATGTACCAGAGGTAATTTCAAATACAATTCTGTCAGTTTTCTTTATCTACCCGACACTACGTGCCAAGTTTAACGATTATGGTACCAATGTATATACAATATTCGTGTGGTCATTTCAACTATTGCAATAGTATTCCTAATAATATTGATGAAAAACTAAGTTTCGATTTTACGAGTTTAGTTAGATATTATTGATATCTCTATATAATCAATATATCTATTATATAGATATATTGATGCTAATTTAATTGAAAAATATTTAATACTTTGACTTTATTATTCTATATATAAACAATGAAATAGTCATCAGTGAACACTATGATTTACTTTTAACATTAATTATTAAGTAAATAAAGTTTAAGTGATATAAATTTAGAGATAAGAGATAAAATAATAAAATGACGCTACACTGAAAAAAATTACTTTTCAGAATACAAACGGGGTATTTTACACACTATGCTATTGTTCTACAGAGCAGTGAGATAGTGCCCAACTGTAGTGATAAGATGGATTATTTTGATGGCCCTGTTCTTTAGATCTAAGATTTTCGCGTCAATTTTTCAAAGAAAATTGTGCCGAATAGAAGAAGGAACAGAATGATAACTCGACAAATTACTCATTCTCCTAACAAATATTTAGTTCAAGTAACTAAAATAATTTTTAAATTAATAGTAACATTGACAACGTATATTCTCAACACTGTTTATTGACGTAAATACTACATTTTTCTGTGTAATACCATGTTTACTATATATTTTTTGTACACACTGGTGAATCAGAATTGCCTATACACAAACGCCTGGTAAAACAGTGAAATGTAGCAAACCAAGAAAATTAGATCACCACCGCCAAGAGTTAAGTTAACAATTTGTGACACTCACAATTTTTTTTTTTAAAAAAAAGGGGGATAGTTTTTTTTGTAGTTTACTAAAATCTGGATGATACTACAACGTGGAATTTTCCAAATTACCAACTACGTACATGGTAATAAAACATTAACATTGCTTTTTGTTCATAAATATTGCCATATTAAACGTATACCAATAACCATTTACTGACAGGTCAAAGGAAAATAATTACGAAACATTTTTTGTGCTTGAATGTGGAAATATTCACTTGTACCATTTAATTGTGACATAACTTAAAAAACTATTACATCAAAAATACCATACGTTTTCTCTACAACTAGAGTAGTTTTAACAATAGTTGAACAAGTGTTCAAAGGACTATTAAAATTAAAGCATTTGAATATTTTATGATGCGACCACCGGCGATATCTATACAAAATATAAGTTTAATAAGTAATAATCAAACATTAGAATGTTAAAATGAGAACTAAAAATTAAAAAATTGAACAACCATTAATAAGTAACCAGTAATTGAAAAAAATAAAATAATTTAATAATAAAATCAAACATTAAACAAGAACATTTGAAGATATGTAAAATTATTTGATAAAAAAGAGCATCGAATCACAGAAGATAAAAAAAATTCACTATCTCAGTTTGCAAGTGAATATTTAAGGAGATAATATTTTATACATTAAATCAAATAAACCCCTATTGTTACCTTTTTACTCAATTTTTAATTTAACACTAGCAACTCTTATCTGCAATTAAAAATTCTTTGTGCTACAGCTAGTTTTTTTACTTTTTTTGTCCTTATTGTTACGCAATGATTCTTATGTATTGTGAAGTCTAGGGATCTCGTTTAATTTTCTTTACAATTATTCTAGCGTGATTTTATGGAGAACATTATTCAATTGACTAGCATTGTATAAAAACACTGAACTGAACACAAACAGAGCATAATTTGAGAATAGAATAGGCTAAAAAAAATTGAATTTAAAAACTTTTTGTTAAACGAGAAGCAAAAAGGAAATGTTATTTATTACTGCCATAAATAATATTTTAAATAAGGTTGGTTTACACCCAAATTAGAACATCACGAATAAGACAATATTTATGTTGTTCGAGTATTTACAACGTTTAAAATTTCAACACATGTGTCAGAATAGTCATGTGATTACTTTGATAATTTATGAGAGTTTATCATTGATGACAAAGGTAATATTATATGTTCATATGTTATTATACATGTTATGTATGTTTTATATAAAAAAAAAATTGTCCAAATGTTTTTTTACTTTGAATTTAAAATAAATTATTGATACTAAATACTTGAATTTATTAAAGGTTATTATCTACTAATTAAAATATTTGGAATAATGTTTTTTCGAAAAAATGAAAGTAAATGTAAAAAAATAAATTATTTTTACCTACTTAAAATAAAAAAAAAAGTGCTATTGCTTTACATCAGAAGTGTAGCCAAGGTTTCATGATAAGAAGAGCCATAGTAAAAAAATAAATAAAATTTCATATTTTGGAATTTTTTGTTGCTTATTACTTTATTTTAGAGTTGAATATTGCTATCAAGGGGGGGGGGACTAGCTACTCAACTGCTGCCTTACATGTAATACTCAATCAATGGAAGAGTTTAATATCCAAATTAGTCCTCATAATAATATTTGCGATATTTATAGGGGTTTAACAGCATTTTACATCTTAATGTAATTAATACCTAATTNTGAATATTGCTATCAAGGGGGGGGGGGACTAGCTACTCAACTGCTGCCTTACATGTAATACTCAATCAATGGAAGAGTTTAATATCCAAATTAGTCCCCATAATAATATTTGCGATATTTATAGGGGTTTAACAGCATTTTACATCTTAATGTAATTAATACCTAATTCAATTGTAATTACGTTATTTTGTAAAAGATAAATAAATAACTGCGACTATATTACTTCGGATTAATTCATCACTCGTGACTGATGTCTTCCAAGATGGAAAAAAATACTGACAGTTTAGACAAAACAACCTAATGTCACAAAAAATGCCGTTTCGGGTAAACATTAGAGGCTATGTTCTAGTAGTAGACAATTATTTTTCTAATTTTATTTTTAAGAAATATTTTTATCTTGGTTCACAACATTTTTCATGATAAATCGGTACAATCTAGGGCGTAAACGACTAATAATAATCAGATTTGGTTGGTAATAACGTTAACCAGAAAGTGTAAGTCTCGTGGGACACCATCAACATGGATGATCTGGCGGTGACACGAAACAACAGTAATGCAATTGACAACATTAGTTTCGCGTTAAAAAAATAAACTAAAAATATCATAGCAAGTTTATCACATAAATAACACATCAAGTAATTTTGCTAAAAATAAAATATAAATAATTACACTTGCATTCCAATGGTTTAGATTAAAAATATAGTTGCAAATTACTTTTTATCAATACAAAAATTTTGCTTTTTTCATAAGTCTAATTAAATTACTATTTCCCTAGTTAAACTGGAAACATTCTTCAATTATTTACAAATATGTTTTACTTAAATATTCACTAATTTGTGGTTTTCATACAGTTTAACAAAACGTCAGCTAAATTCAAATTTTACGAAAACCCTTTAAAACAAAATTTAATTTACTTAAAATGTAAAAGACAAACGCCAACACATATTTGATATTTACTTTAATAGGGTTTCAACGATAATGTTAGATAATTTACGAATTTCTGGTAACAAATATTCGTTGTTATACTTTTAAAGAGAAATATACATATCTTAAAAAAATAAAATTTAATTAGCGCCTTATTATCGATTTTAGTTAAAACCCGTAGCATTGATTTTAAAATTCATAAAATAAAACATTGATTATAAGGTTACACATCTTACCGCAAATAAGTCATTTGATTGATACTTGTAGTAAATAATTGTTTAAGATCGTGAAAACATTTTTTTTACTATCATTTGTTATGCATTTTTTTCATTAAATATTTTTAATGTAAAATTTTTAATTACAAACAATAACCTTGTTAAGATAAATTAATGGGGAAAACTTACCTTTAGGGTGTTCTGTGTTATCCGCACCAGATCGCATTATATCATTTAAATAATGTTCTAAATTTCGCATATTGTCTAAAGGACCAGTGCCATTTCCACTAGTCAAGTTTCGTTCCTGAAAAAAAAAACATTAGTTCTTAGCACATAGAGTAATTTATATAAAATAAAACAAATTATTTATACAAATTTAATGATCTGAGAAAAATATACGCGTTATTAATTAATATTTTTTAAAGACACACATAAAACACAATATTATATTCAGCCAATCTAAGATAATGTATGGTAATATCAATTAAATATTATAATTATAAATTACAGATAATTTGTTGTTTTTACGACATCACTCACAGTATATGAATACAAATTGTTATTGTTTTTTTGTTAGAAATTTTTATTTCATAAAAGTTGTGTATCATTGCGGTCTGTTAATTAAATTTGAATTTCGGTCTCAGCTGAAAAGTTTGTGGTCCGATGCCAAGAATAAACTTCCACAATGTTATTATTATATCAGTGTACAGAAATTTTGATACAGAAAAGCCTGTACAAAGTTTTTCAACTAAGTACTAAATCTATGTTTTTTGCCTCAGTTTCTAGAAGGATTCGTTTCCATTTAGAAAGTTAAAAACCATTACATTTAATTGGCAAGTATCCGACTAATTGAATTTTGGACGATTTCACTCTAATTATTTAGTTATTAGTAGAACCCTGAATCAAGGCATATCAAAATTATTTTAATTACAACAATTTTTTACCCGTTGTGCGTTGCTGTGATTTCAGAAGATAGAAAATTCAACATGCATTGTGTATTTTTTATTGAAACATGATTATTATCATCGGGAAAATATTTTTAAGTGTCGTTTTAATTATATTTTTTAAATCTAGTATATTGTGCATTTGAGTATTACACAACGCACTGTCAACTATCATTGAACACATGTACTATGCGAGAAACATTCGTGGGAGTGTACTTCCCAGTTTCATAGCAATTTGATGAATAGTGCAAAGGACAAACAAACAGATATCATCAGATTCACAGATTCGTTTATTTTTATATAAATATAACAAAAGATTTCAATGAAACATTTCACGAACATTAAATATAACATTTTATTAATATCAGTTGCAGGATTGTTTTTACAAAAGTAAAATATTAGAGGAACTCGAGACGAATAAAAACAATTTAGTTTATAATGTAGTTCATTGATTTGAAAACATTGTCATTTATATTTTACTACTTGTAATGATGTTTCAAAATTTTGTAGCGTCTTGGAATATTAAATAAAATCACTGGTGCTAAAAGACAACCGAAATAAGACACCTTATTCTTATTTCAATTTTACAGTATTTATTCACTTTACTTAGCTTAATCCAATATAATACAATTCGTATATACATAAACTATTTTATAAAATATGAAATCTACAAAAATGATTCTTTAAATTATGAAAGTCTCTCAACTAATTCAAAATTTGTTAATAATAGTTAACTTATATATTAAATACAATGTTAATTGAAAGTTATCATTGTTAAGAAATACATATGCCATTTGAGAATATATATTCAATAGCAAAATATTTTCTTATTCCAAACTTTTAAAAATTCACAAAAAGTAACTAATATCTGTAAATCCTATAAAGAAAATACGTTTCTGAGTAATTAATATAACTTCATATAGATCAGTAATTATCTAGTCCATTTTTTATTGAAATGAACAAAACTAAATAATTTTTTCAATTTTCTTTATCTTCAAAACACTTCTATAGAATACAACTTTCAGAATACAATAATTTTTGAATTGATAAAGCTCAAGTGAATTATTATTATTATTTTTTTAATATATAGCTGCAATCGTATTATTAAGTACAATAGCAAACAATTTGATTATAAATAAAAATTTATGCGGTACAAATTAATCTTATTTTGTAATTTATAATGCTCAAATAGGACACAATAATTGTATAGCAACGATTATAACGCACATCTGACATTATTACTCAACCAATCAGAGTATTAAACGAGATATCAAATCGGGAATATTAATTTGAATACAAATTTTATATCATAAAATATACAACAACATTTATAACTCTAATACACTGACGAATATACAAATGCTATATACTCTTAAAGTCTGACCTAAATTTAATGATACTCGAATAGAATTAACATAATAAATATGAATCGTAATATAAAATCATTACAATACATTTACACTGAATCTGTTTCATGGTAGATTAATGTTGACAAGAGGAAGTTTAATTAATTAATAATAGACTCTAGTAATATAACAGAATGAGAGAGAATATTCAATAATATTAAATATAATGTTTACATTCAATAAGAAAATACAGTTATAAACCGTTGGATTAAGCAAAATAATAGTAATACTTTTATAATTTTTTTTTTTTTTTTTTTTAAAATACGTGTTTTCGCGTATTAATATAACTAAATTAATATTAATATATTTGAAAAAAATTATTCTTATATTGTTTTTAATTTAACTCATTATTGGCATATAGTTGACGAAATCTAAATTGATCATTAATGCTAAAAATATCAATATTATTAATAAAATATCTTGAATTTTTTCAGATACCTTAAAAAACAACGTTTTGTTGACATGTATCACTTTAGAAACGCGATAGATGTTCCTTTTTTTTTTGTAAAAGGAGTCAATCTTGTTCCTGGTATTAAAGTCTCAACCCCTCTAAACATTGTTCAGAAGACTATAAACACGTACTATGTGCGAATGCAGTTAAATGACGACGTTTTTGGTGGTATCCAAGAGAGATTTAAAGTTTCAAATACTGCCAACAAATGTCCAGGCGAGCAGTGTAGTGTTTGTAGGGAATTGGGAACTTTGCCAATGTATTACAAAACATTTTTTAATCTGTGGTTACGCTGGCGACGACATCGTTTAAAAACGAATTAAACTGGACGTGTTTACTATATTTGATAAATTATAACTTATCAACTAAGATATATCAATCATAATTATTATTGATTTTTCTGTTTAAACGTTATCTTTAATTATAAAGTCTCCATTTAACATTTAGTTTACGCAATGGAAATAAAGATACACGTGGGTCATAAGTAAATGAAATTTAATTGTCGAAATGATCAAATCGCCTGCACATGGCACGTGATGATATTGCTTTTTGAAAATCAGTGGACCAAATAATGGACATTATTCATTAGAGTGGAATAACCATATTATAAATGTGTATCCTTCTTAAAAAGAACAAGCAATAAAAAATAAAGTTACTAGATACGTTGAAAAATGATACATCGCTGTAACTGGGCTTGTAATTTAAAAGCAATAAAAAGGAAATAATTCGTTTGTTTATTATAAAGAATTTCTTGAGGAATATTATTGAAATTCTATACTTTACTTTATTTTGGTACAAAAAAGGACACATAAAATTAAACTTTATAAATAATGAAAGATCCAATCGCATTTATTATAAAATAAGAAAATTAAAATATTGTGAAATTTAAAAAAATAAATCTATATTTATTAATTTTCTTAAAAACTTTAAATCTATATTATAGAATGTTTTTTGATATTTGGCGCTTCATTTAAATTCTTTTTTTGCGGACTTACTTGACTTTATTTTAGTATTTTTGCCGTGAAATTTTTCCATTATGAGTTTTTTTTTATAATTTATTTTGAGTAATAGTGTAGAGCAGGACTATCTATTACAGGGAAAAGTAGTTGCTACAATTGAGATATTTTAATTTTAAATGAGACTGTATAGTGTCTCAGACTAAATTAATAACGCTATAACTTTTGATACAATTATCATTTTGTTAAAAATTAAAAAAGAATAATTGTTGTTTTCTTAGACTACATTTAAAGCATATTTTTAATTGTTTACCACTTATAAGAAAATCGTATTATTTTTCCAAAATTTTAAAATAGACTTTTTTAAATCCTTTTATTACAAAAAATCTTAAAGAGTCGATAACAATTTTAGGAAAAGTACTCATTGAGTTACAAGAATATTAATACATAGATCGTATATAAAACATGGGCGGAGTATACATTCACCAGTAAAAGCTGCACCCAACTTTACTATAATACTAACACTATGTATTAAAAATGCTATTAACACTATAATGAGTAATTGTCCTAAATTTGAATATCCATCAATTTTTTTTTTTTGTAAGAAAAGAGCTAAAAAATGACTTTATTATTCAATTTTATTATATATCATAAATAATCTAAAAAATCGCTTTAAACGTAGTCTAAAGCAATAATTATTAAAAAAAAATGTTCAACAAAATGATAATTGCATTAGAGTTATAAATGTAATATATTTCATTTTGATTGGAAAATTACAGAACCCTAGGGACATAATTTATAAAACTGTTACAATTGTAATATTTTTAAATAAAAATTATTTTTACATTTCATTTATAAAATTAGAAAAAACTATACTGTAACAACATATCCTATGGTAGAGTTGGTTGTTACATTTTATTAGCTCTAGAAATTTAATTTTTAATATGAATTAATTGAATAACTCATACTTTTATAAAAGCTTATAATTTATAAATTAAAACGAATTCATAAAAATTTAGGTAAGTATAGGGGTAAAGTTCATACAAATGAAAATATATAGACTGTAACAACTAGACTCACTCTTTCCCAATACATAAATATTTATAAAATCAAAAATCATATCAATATATAAAGAAATATGTTTGTCATGAAAATCGTACCTTTTATGATAAGACTATGAATTTTTAATACATTAGAGTAATTAAAGTGTACTATTAAAAATTTTATTAGTTGTAAACTAAGGATTTTCATAAAGAAAAACATTTTTTAGCGTATATTTTATTAAGTCGTTTTTAGCTTAATAAGTTATGCCTCAAAAATAATTTGATTAATTTTCTATGTTCAATACCTAAAATCGGTTAATTGTTCTTTGTTTATTAATAGGGTAACAAATTCATCATACAACAATTATATAAACGGTCATTATGAACATTTTGGTTGCAATACATATTCACATGATGCTTTTACCGGGCCATGTATATATTACCTAGGCCTGGGCCGCTACCGTTTCTAACGCCGTCAACGTTGCAATGAATAAATCAATACGG